GGCCTTCTTTAATCGCACTACGCTTCCGGCCTCAAGATTCATCGCCGCGCATATCTCGTCGCAAGGGATGCACAGAAGTTGGTCGGGATAATCACGGCCTTGGAGAAAAGCCCCTGAGACGTCTCCTTTGTAGACTGCCCACTTCCGGATAGCGGCGGTCTGAAGTAACATCTGACGCGTCTGACGCGTCATAACAGGTGAAGTAGTAGAGCGATGAGCATAGGCAGGGTCCTGGTAGCCTAACAGGACTGCTCGCGCCTTCGCTTTCTGGCTCCCGTCTTCACGGGTCTTCCAGGTCAGGATCCAGCGCATGCCCATTGCCTGCGACTTGTCCGGCTTCACCTCGGAGGGCAAAGCCTCAAAGGCTCGTGAAGCCACAAAGTTCTTGACCTCCACCGCTTTAGCCTCTCGAAAAGCGGCCCGGTCGCCTTCACTCAATCTCTTCTCGCTGACCTCAATCGCCTTGCGCTTGAGCGCGCTCACGAAGTATCCCGAGAGGTTCTTCAAAGCTCCCTGCACTCCTCGACTGGTAGACGGCATGTCGATGGCCACCTCGACGGCTGCCTCGGTATCCGTCCAGAAACTTGAAGCCTCCGGAAAGCTTTCATCGGACAGTCTGCTCCACCAAGCCTCCTGCCGCTCCGCCTGCAGACCTGTCGGGCCAGCGGTGCGCGGCCGGCTTGGTCGGCTTGGCTGTGAGGGCGTGTCCTCCTCATTCTCCAGGTCCATGAGTAGCTCGTCATCCGGCTCGCGTGCCGGCCTCTTGCCTCTGTCTCCTCCATAGGATCTTGTGCTCGATGCCACTCGGCGGGACTGGGCCGTTCTCCAGTAATGTCCTCGTAGCGAGTCCCACCGATTTCCTCAGCGATTCTTTGGAAAGTCCAAGGGGTGTGCTCGCCTTGACCGCCAGCTGCTAGCGCTTCCAGAAGTTCTTCTCGGGGAGACGCTGGCCTTAGTTGCTCTGGGCAACATTTCAAGAGTGATCTTCCTCGTACCAACCAGATTGCACTACCCGGACGGTGGGAGCCGTCTGGCTCTCGTCGTCCTTCTGTAGCCAATATGCGTGCTGGTCCTAAGAATCGTCCATGGCTGGTGCCTGGAGCTCGTCGGCTCTTTCCGCTCTCCTGCGTCCTCCAGAAAAACACCAAGTCCCCAGGGTGGTACGTAGCTTGCGGCCGGCTCCGGGAGTTCAAAGCACGACTGATGCGCTGCTTGGCCTGCCAATCACATAAGGCCTTTTCCGCCTCTGCGCGGCTTTTCGCCGCCCTGGCAAAGTCATCCACAGCGTTCTCCACCAGCCATTCGTCAGGCAGCTGGTCCGGGCGCGCTATGAGGCGTCCGGTCACATCAGGATTCCGACCGAATGCATGCTGGATCGGGGTGAAGCCTCGCACCTGCTCGCGGCTATTGAACACTCCAACGGCTAAAGAGAGAGCTTCTTCCGAGGTCAACTGTTCATCCTCCGCACAAGCCCTTTCCATCACATGTTTAATCCCCTTAACCGCTTGTTCACACACTCCAATCTGCCAGTGGGCATCGGCTGGGATCACGTCCAAGAATATGGAATGTCTGTCACAGAAATTCTCAACCTGTTGCCCTCTGAATGATCCCGCAGGGTCCAATCTCAGAACATCAGGACGCCCAAACACCTGAATCCATCCTTCCCTCAGGTACTCCAAGCAATTCGCGGCCGACGGTTGTTGCCTACTTCCCTTGGTCAACACCTTGGCAATCCTAAACCGGGAACCCTCATCAATAATCAACAGAAACTGAATGATCTCCCCACTTCTCGGGTGGGTCCAGTGACCCACATCAGCTGAAATGGTGTGCCACCGCGGTGGCAACAACTCCAAGGATGCTAAGTGTCGTGGTGGTGGACGCGTCCTCTCTTGACAAGCCGAACACACAAACCGACTCGCCACTTCCAGCACCTTCTGAGGAGCTCCTCGTCTTTTTAAGGCGTCAATCATGGTTTTGACACTCCCATGTCCCGTAGCAGAATGCAGCTTGTACAGTTGTCTCATGATCAGTTCCTCTTCTCTCTTGCTCTGGGTTTCCACCGCCATGGCTTGAGCATGTTGGGTTTCCGTTTTTCCATGGGCCACCGGAGGCAACGTGAATCCTAATTGTTTCGCTCTCTCTCTCTGTTCAGGATTCAAGCAGTGTGACCCTCGTGACACAAACGCCGCTATCGTGAATCTCTCTCCACTCCACTTCTGTGTCTGGTGCCACAAGGTCGGAGAAAACTTCAACACTTTCCCTTTGATATCATGGATCCCGCCTTGGATCCATTCTCCAGAAGGTAGCTGCCGGCGTTGCGCTCCGCCGTCCGGGCTCTGAAGCCACAGCTCCCCGTGTTGATATGTTCCTAGACCTATCACATGGTTCTTGTAAGCACTATCATTGTTCACGTCACGGTGGAGAGGCAGTAAGTTGTTCCAGCTGACAACCAGCGACGACTTACAGAAAGGGCCTCCAGACCAGTTCTCCATAAACTTGTTCAGATACTTACACAAGCTCGGGAATTTCAGGGATCGGTTCGTGACTCCGTAGTGATTGCCGTAAGCGTACACACCCAAGGCAACATACACAGCACGCTTGTCTCCTAGCATACCTCGGTGCCTGTTCAGGGGCTTAAAGGGGAGGTTTCGGAGCAGGTCCAGGCATTGCTCTTGACTCCAGTTCTGCGTTTCCAGCAGGTCCTTTGCTTGGGCCTCCACTGCATGTATCTGTTCTTGACTCATGAACGCTTCGAACTCTTCCAAGGACACCTCATCCCTGCTTTCGACTTCGGAAGACCCTGAAACCTGGATCCCATGCTCATCAGTACTTTTCATCCCCACCTGTTCCACCTGAGGTTCCACCTGGGCTGGGGTTTCGGAACCCTGAAGGCACATGTAACAAGTTCTCGGACAGTCTGGCACACTCACCTCGTGACAACGGCCCTGCAACCCTTCTCCAAACCCTTCGCTCAAGAAGCTTTCACCCCTGAACTCCTGGGTCAGCTGGGCCATGCTCAGCTCTTGGTTCATCACCGCTGCCACTCTCTTACAAAGCTCGGGTGTGTAGCGTCTCAGGAGGGAAGTGTCTCTACCGGCCAGGGTTCCGTGCTTGTAGTCAGGAGAACATCTACAGGGTAAGTTCATGACTTGGGCAAGACGGTCACACGTGGTCGCTAACTTCCATCCGGACCTCACAAGCAACCCTTCCTTCGTCTCCCGCAAATTCACTCGGCAACCCTTCACACACACCACCTGCAAACCGCATTTCTTGATCATCCCCTGAATCAACGGCAATCTCCATCCGTTACAACCCTCAGACCATTCCCAAGTGCAATGTATACCCATCTGAACACAAGCATACACTACTGCGGCAGCTCCCTGGTACTTACGCAAGGCTTCTCGTCGTTGGGTTTTGAGTTGGTTTTGTTGTTCAGGGTTCTTCTGGTTCAGGGCTTGGTATGGTGAGAACGCGCTCCCTTGGGGTGAAATCCACACATGCCTCGGTTTCTCCATCTGAATTTGCTGAATCACCAACCTAACCCCTTCCGAAGTTGACAGGTCACATTTGTCCTGTGGTGTGCATCTGCACGCGGCGTCGGGCCGTCCCGCCACGCACTGCACTGTGGCCGAGAGAAGACTATTGGCATCATCAGCAACTTCCAACAGAACCCTTCGATCCTGAACCACCAAACCTTCAAAGACCTTGGGAACCACACTATCCGCCAGTTGCTCCAGTTGCCTCGCGCGTCCTAAGCTAAGCCTCCTACTCAGCCTTTCCGAAGCGCTCATACAGACGGAGTCCTGCTCCGCCTCGCGGAAGGGCCACTCCCCATCACTCACGGGGAGCTCGCCATGGAGAAACTCTTCAAGCTCACATCCTCGCTCTCCTCGGACGTCACCTTCTTGCGGGGCCTCTCGCTCTTCAGGGTGGCCACCTCGTCTTTCAAATCCTCCATCGTGGTGATGAGCGCGGCCAACTGGTCCTTGGAGATCTTCACACCGTCGTCCTCGGTCTCTGTCTCCTTCCGGCTGGCGGCCTTGGATCGTGCCGCGGTAACTCCTCGGCGATTCCCGCTCACCATCGTGCTGCTCGAAGCTGAGCCTCTGGGTGTCGCCGGTTCCCGCAACACTGGATAGCCCTCGAACATGCCCTTCGACTCGTTGATCGTCTTGGCGTCGCGAATCTCCTTCTGGGCCTTCTGCACCATCTCCACGTCGTTCTCCAACCACCCTGCCAAGCGCAACAGCCTGGGGTTGCACTGTCCCTCCCGGGCTGTCTGTACGACCCATCGGCAGTACTCGGGATGATTGTCCTTCACAAGGGCATACGAGAGGCTGGCATGCTTGCCGAATCCCACAAGGTCGGCCGGCTCGGGTGGAGTCCGAGACGCAATGACTGCCATAGCATCTTTCTGGAGCTGGGCCACCGTAAGATTGAGGTTCACATTCATGTTCAGCCGGTCGGCGCAGAACTTCTGAAGCTCGGCTTTGCGCCGTGAGGCTTGATTCAAGTCGCGAACCAGCACACGGTACTCCGACGCCTCCACGGCGCTCGGTTTCTTCTCCCGGGTGAGGTCGCGGCCAGTGACCTCTTCGATCCTCTGGAGGAGCTCCACCTTGGTCCACTGCTTGGGAACCAGTTCCCCATGCTCCTCGAGCAGCTGTCGCATCTGCGCGATGGTGCCGCTCATGTTGTGCTAGCGATGGGGAGTTGGTGGTGCTTCGAGGTTGGCTTGCTAACGGCTGCGAGCATGTGGAGATCACGTTCACATTCTCAAGGAGGTTGTGGGTGTGCTCCCGTGCTCTGCAGTTGTCACTGGCAGTATCAGAAATTGAATCTGGACTCGACCTACATCTACTCTGAACATCCCTACTTCCAGGATCTCTCATGATTGATTGAGCGACAAGTCCTCTGGGACCCTCGCTCTGGAACCCCTGTCCTGAGACTATGCGGTCCTCTCCTTTCTCGTCAGGACTCGAGTTGGAGAGGTGATGTCCCTACTCTTCGGCAGGCTTCGGCACGAAAATCTCCAGGCCTGGAATTGACTGTACAGCTTGGATAGCCTTCTTAAAAAGGTCACCGGACAACGGCACTAGCATATGGCCGGTAGCGGACCGCTCAATCGGGAGAAGCTTGGTCGGGTCCAGCTTCCTGAACACCGCGAGGTTGGCGCTGAAGTCCACTAGGGCGCCCAGCATGGTCATTGCTTCAATGCTCATCAGAATTGGGCCATCGCCTTTGTTCAGCGCGTGGATCCGGAAGACTCCTTGGCGATTCCCCGCTTGTAGCCCCATCTTCACTGTAGAAGTACACTGGTCCGTCGAAGAATTGCCAAACCCGAAAGTCGGGCGGTCTGAACGATCCACCTCGATCACTCGCGGCTCCCCGTGTTGGGCAATGTTCATCTCCATCAGCTTCTCGAGCGCCTGCACTGACCCAATGCTTCTCGTGGCCCCACAGTCCATCACGGCCTTCCCCTGTTGGACCGCCTCACGTGTAGTGATCCCCGTGGCATAGGCCGTCTCCTGTGCAGCAGGTCCCTCGGAGTAACAAATGAAAGAGGCAGTTTCGGTCTCGGCCATCTGTGCTGAAGGAGGGTTTGGAGTGTTGGGGCAATTGGCCACTCGATGGCCTTTGCGGCCACACCCCATGCAGATCAGATTGCTGTCATCTGGTGCCCGGCGCTGGCCGCCGAATTTTCCACTGCCCTTTCCGCTCACCCGATAGTATTGGCGAGACATTTTCACCGCGTGCTGTTTCGCACGCGCATCCTTGAGCGTTCGCTTTGCGGTCCCGATCACCGCCATCGCCTCCGCAATCTCCTCCTGCGCGTCATTCCACATGGCGAAGCCCTCGTCATTCAAGTTCTCCGCCACCTCGGCTGCCTGGAAGGTGTCCCCGTAGCCCTCGGTCTCGGACTCCTCTTCGACATTCCCCCAGTAGCCGAGATGCTTCTTTCCTCCATCTCGCCTTCGAAGGTCGCCGTCAGGAAAGTGTGCCCGGAGGGCATTGGCCACCGTAGTCACACGGAAGTCCTCACCCACGGTTGTGAGGACTAGTCCTCTCTCGTTGGCATCCAGTCCTGCGTCCTGCAAGAGCAGCCACCCCTGCACGAAGTCCGGGAGAAGGTCCGGCAAGGGAGAGGCACTCGCGCCGGTCGCCGACGAGTTTGCCCACGATCCGGAGCCCCATCCATAGCCGGTGCTGCCGTAGCCCGACCATGATGAACTCCAGTCCCAGTCCCAAGACTGAGAGTAGCCCCACCAGGTGTCAGGCTGCCAATTCCATGAAGATCTAGTCGCAGCTGTGTCGGTCTCCGCCGCCTCGTCAGGTTGCTCTTCCTCCTCGGCCACATTCTCCATGGATGTACGGCGGCTCCATGTGGGTGTCTCCCAAGCCGATGCTCCTCCGTTGCCGCCTCGGCTCGAGGTCGTGGGCCTAGTCCCGGTCCTCGGCATCCTCGCCATCGCCTGTTGAGCTCGAAGATACACCTCGTTCCGCCGGGTGACGTATTCATTGATGCTCTCGCCGGCCTTGCGCTTGCTGTACTTGAAGAGCCGCGTCAGATGGTCCGTGACCTCTGACACTCGTGGCTTCCCTAGCCCCTGGCGCAGATGGCTCAACAGAGCCTCTGCTCCGCCGTAGTGGGAGAGCCAGTCTGGTGCCTGGCCAGTTATGAATCTCTTCGCGGCTCCAGTCAGTTCCGCGGCCACTCGTGGCCCCACTTGCGCCCGCTTGTGCGGCGCCGTGCCCTGCTCGTAGAGTCTCACTGCTTCTGAAAACTCCACAAAAGTCCCAGGATCTCCATCCCAGATCGGCACTCCGTCTCGGGTCCGCCCCGCGGACCCCGTTCCACTTGACATCCTCGGTCGGGACGACCAGACCAAGGCTGTTTCCCCGGATCAAACCACTTTGACCTCCTCGAGATTCGGGAAGTCAGGCTCCAACGCTACCATGCAAGTGGTAACGGTCGTGAGTGCCCTAGCCAGTGAACGAACTTGCCAGTGGTCTCTGCAGTGTTCCAGCAATGGCGTAAGCGATGCGGGCTTTTACTGCTCTACCCCGGCGTGCCTCGATCACTAAGCTGCGGGACACATCAGCGTCAGCAGCGCACAAGCCTTCAGAAGCTTGCAGGGGTTTAGGGTCTGAGGCTTCGGTCTTAAATAGGGTTTAGGAGCGCCAATAATTGCCAATACTGTTGATGATATAATCTTGCATTACCCATACTAAGGAATATGCCATAATTCCCATAGTTCAGTGTCATAAGGTAATGCAGGATTTATATCATCAACCGTAGTACGCCTGCCTGTTTGCCCTGCAGGAGCAGACATGACTTGTGCGCATGTCCTCTCTGGAGTTACATATAGTTCTCGCTATGTAATATAGGGGCCTAAATAAATACCAATAATGACTATTTCAGGAGGTTCTTGATTTATGTTGTTATAGTTTCAGCGGGTCCCATGCAAAACCCTATTCCAATTATGACGGCCCCTATATTACACCCAGCCTTCTGCAGCTGGGCCGCTTTTGCCGGTTCTTTCTTCTTACATTGCGTTCGTGTCTGTTGATGGAGGGGCGAGTGAGAGTGCGTATCCTGGTATATGAGGAGCTCCGATCCCAAAGCAACTGCCTTGACTGCCTTTGGTTTGTTTCAGAGTTTCCGAAAACTAGGGGACCCTAACATAGTACCCTAAATAGTAGGATCCGTATTGTAAGGACCCCCAAATAAGGTACCCCTAATTTTCTGAAACTCCCATTTTGGCGGCAGGAATGGTGAACAGCTACCGCAGGCTCCGAGCCCAAAGCCCGCAGCTCCAAGCCCCAAAGCCCGAATGCAACATTATGAAGTACATCCCAACAAGCGAAGCGCTAAAAGCCTACATGGTTCGGGCGCCTTCTTTTTTGTTCCTTAGAAGCTACCATAAGGTCCGCTTGTCGGACTACAGGCAGGCCTTCAGACTGTCGGCCCTAAACCCAAAGCCCTAAACCTTACTATAGGGGCCTAGATTACCTATACTGTTTTCCTTGTTATACCTATAGTATCCTGGGCTCCAAAACCCTATTTTAATCATTAAGGCCCCTATGTTACCCATGAGCCTTCGATTTCAAGGTGGTCTCGGGCGATTGAGCCGACAAAGGCCCTTTAGCCGGCTTTTCGGGTCTACGCAAAAACTCCAGCATCCCTGAATGGAAGGGTTTAGGGTTTACGTATTTGGGGTTTAGGGGTTTTGGGTTTACTGTATTGTTTATGAAGTGAAGGGTTCTATGAGAGTACGATAAAGGCTCTAGAAGGGCTCGATGCGGGTCTTATGCTGTGGGAGGCATGATGGTGAAAGATCCTGGCGATAAAGTATTGCGGGGGTACAGATGAAGTGGGTGTCAGGAAGAACTGGGCGCTCTATGTACCTATATATATATATATATATATATGTAGGGAGTACTATGAATACTATGAAGCCCGATATGGTGACTGAACCTTAAAGTCTTTTGGGGAAAATGTTCGGTTGGGTTGGTTTGACTGACAAAAGAGTTTGGGTCGAGGCTACCGGGTGAATAATGCTTTGGCAAGTTAGGGTTTAGGGTTTAGGGCTTTGGCAAGTTTGGTAGGCAAGAGGATCTACGATAATCTCAATCCGTCCAGTTTCGGGATGTCAGGCCGCCGATGTCTCTGCACGTGTAGTTTTTCCAGGAACCCTTGCGAAGCTTTAACATCACGTCTGCCTCAAGCTGTTGTGACGGGACTTCAGTCAATTCGCATGACAGGATGCAGATCTTTCCATGCTCGCAATTGTAGCTGAGATTCGTTATGGGCAAGATTTAGAGTTTGGAGGTGCCCCAAACCCAAGTCTTGGCCCTCAACTGCAACATAGGGGCCTAAATGTCCAATAAAATTTTGGTGGTTCCTTATTCTAATCAGGGTATAATGGGCGCCAAGACCCTGTTCCAACTATTTCGGCCCCTATATTAGACGACTCTAAGATCTTGCGCCGTGGTTCTGCATAACTCAAGCAGCTTTCACACAGGTCAAGGCTCTAAAGCCCCAAGCATTCATGGTACCCTTATAGAAGCCTGAAGGTACCCTTGTAGAAGCCTTAAGGTAGCCTTATAGAAATTCTTATAGAAATCTTATAGAAATCTTATGGATACGGAGGCTTGCGCCAAGTACTTGGACTCTGTGGGAGTCCTGCGCCGAATCGTGTTGGACACACGTGTGGAGGCCCCCCGGAGCAACACGACCGGGGTTTGGAGTCTAGGGGTTCAAGGTTCACAGGTTTAGGGTGCAGTAGGTGTTTAGAGTTTTTTTTTTTTTTGGGGGGGGGGGGGGTATGGTTTAGGGTTTAGGGACAAAGTACTGCAGGGGCCTGAAGATTTCGCAAGCTTTCTCCTTAGGGGCCTTATATTCGGGGATTCAGGGGTTTTGGGGTTTAATTTGCGCGCGGTATTTGTGTTGCAGGTTGCATACTTGGGTTTCAGGGTAGTAGAGCGAGCTGCTTCGGATTGAGGGTGCTTAGCATTCAAAGAGTTTGGGATTCAGGATTACTTGAGGTAATTTTGGGGCTTCCTTTAACAGAATTATGGTATAATGGCCCTCAAACCCTAATCTAATTATGAAGGCCCCAAAAAGAATCTGCAAAAGAAGGGACCTCAGGGGGCTCCGATGCGGTGCCTCTGAAGGTGGAGGATTTCAGGGCTCAGGGGTTTAGGGTTTAAGGTTTGGGGTTTAGGGCTCGGGGGTTTAAGGCTGATTCCTGTGTACTTTATGCCCTTCCGTTTCTTTGAACTGAGAGTAGAAGAAAGGAGAACATTACTTATGCACCCTGAACCCTAAACCCCCCTACACCATGGGGCTAGTGGCTCCAACCCCAGAAGGTTTAGGGTTTAGGGTTTAGGGGCCAAGCCATATAAGACCCTGCAGACCATGTTCATGTTAGCCCTAGAAAGCCCACTGTGTAAACCCAATACCTCCCCCCCAAAAAGCTAGAAACCTTAATCCTTACACCTCCGAAGCATGAGCCCAAAAACGCTAAACCCTAATCCCCTAAACCCTGGACCCTGAGCCAATATGGGTGGTTGTCAAAATGATGGTCCCTTGTTGGGTACCCTAAATATTGGGTGCCGTACTATACTAGGGACCCAAAAAGGGACCATCATTTTGAAAGCCGCCCATATACGTAAAACATAAACCCAGAGCTCATGGATCTTCCTCTTTGAGCCTCTCTGGGAAGGATCTCTTCAAACGCCCCGAAGCTGAGGGGCAGGCAGAGAGACAGTTGATGATATAAATCCTGCATTACCTTAAGGACCCTAAATTATGGGAATTATGGTATATTTCTTATTAATGTAAGAGTTCCTTTACTTTAAGGCATCCTTTAAGCGATCTTGTATTCCTTTATTTGAGAGTTCCTTTAAGGCATCCTTTAAGCGATCTTGTAAAGGGCTCCTTTAAGTGATCTTGTTTGGGATTAGGGTTTTGGCTTCAGGGTTTAACTCACAGTTTAGGGTTCAGCGTTTAAGGCTTCGAGTTGAGGGGTTAAGGCTTGGAGCTAGCGTGTTGGGGTTTAGGGTTTAGGATGGCATTTGGTTCAGGATTTGGGTCCATTCTTGGGTTTTGTTGGCTAGGGGTTAAGGCGGTTTTCCACTTACACACATACACATATACATCATTCATCTGCATGCATATATTGATATGTGTATATATATATATACACATGTGTATGTATGTATGTATATATATATATATAGACATTACATGTCGTTCCTTGCATATCGTATTGCTAGAGTAGTTTCTGCTTATGGTTGAGGGTTTGGTGAAGGGTGTTGAACACGAAGAGCCGCAACGGCCTTAAGCGTTGGGTGTTCCTTTCAGGACGTGTGGAGCCGGATGGCCACATATCACTGATTAAGTTTTTCGCTATAGGTTGCATCGACATCTACATTACTCGTTAGCACCCAGGAAACTAATGCCGGACGTGTCGCAGAGCCCTTGCAAGAACAGTTTAACGAAACCTTCCTACCTAATAGCACCCACCCATCCGCCCACTTACTCCTGCCACCAATCCTGAACTGTATACACGTCGAATCACCCAACCAAGCCCCTGATCTCCTGAACATCTTAAACTATTGAATCCTCGAACCCTAAATCTACACGCTGTAGACCATAAATCCTAGACCCTAAACATTATGCCTTTCAACCCTATAATCCTTATATAACCTCGGGAAGCCATTGGATCCCTTACCTATTACCGTTTACTCCAGTGTGAACAGTGCAATCCTTTGTGACCCGGAGAAGCTGTATTCAACATGATCAAAAAGCCATACTGGTTTTGTGGTGTTTTATAAAACACTGCAAGCACAGTTGAAGCATGCTTGATAAAACATTAAATACCCTAAACCCTAGACCCTTGACCCCTAAACCCTAAACCTTAAACCCTGAACCCTAAAAGCCCTAAAAGCCCCAAACGCACTAAAAACCCTAAACTAACCGGGTTCCAACCTTGAACCCTGAAAAGCCTTACTGTTCTCTCCAGAGGTGCCCTGGTCCGGCAAGCTGGCAGAGGCCGCCACGGCACTGCAGATGGCGGTCCGGGCATCAGAGGCCTGGCATTTTTGGGTTTTTTTTTTGGCGAGTTTTAGGGCTTTAGGAGTTTAGGAGGTTTTAGGGCTTTAGGGTTTTGGAGTGTAGGAGTTTAGGGGTTTAGGGCTTTAAGCGTTTTTGGTTGAGGGTTTAGGGCTCAGGGGTTAAGAGTTTTGGGGGTTTATTCATTTGGTTTTAGGGTTCCCTCTCTCCTTTGTTTTGCTGTAGGTTTGTTTTTGTGCTGGCTTTGCCCGTTGCTTCTGGTTTTATTTTTGTACACGTGTTTGT